CAGTGTAGCTCGTGGAAGGCTCGATGGGCATACACTATATGAATGGGTTTCTACAATGCCTTCAGTAGCGGTCAACCCAAACTGTCCTGAACATCCACGTTATGGGGAGCACCATAAATGGACAAAACAATCTATTTTATAAAATCTTCCTTATTGGAAAGATCTCCGCATACGCCATAACTTGGATGTTATGCATGTGGAAAACAATATTTTTGAAAATATCATACACACTATTATGGATGTTCCGGGAAAAACGAAAGACAACCTTAATGCTCAGAAGGACATGTCAATTATTTGTGATCGTCCCAAACTTTCCGTCGAGCCAGATAGTAATGGTTCAAAGAGGAAGGCCTCTTACACATTGAATCAAACACAATGTTGATTGCTCTGTGATTGGATTTGCCAAATAAAGTTTCCAGATCAGTTTGTGTCCAATCTTAGCTGCTGCGTGGATAGTTCCCGAGTTAAATTCATAAAGATGAAGAGTCACGATGCACATATTTTCATGCAACGGATGTTCCCTATTGCTTTTCGGAAGCTTCTTCCTAGCTATGTGTGGGAGACTATTACTGAGGTAAGTCTTATTTTTCAAACAGTATGCATTTCTACTTTATTCACGGAGCAGTTGAAAGAATTGCACAAGAGCATACTATTGGTACTATGCAAGCTATAAAAATTTTTTCCTCCGGTATTGTTTGATAGTATGGAACACTTGATGGTCAATTTTCCAGATGAATGCATGTTAGATGGACCCGTTCAATATCGTTAGATGCATCCTTTAAATGTATTGTTTATGAATTTTGGCTATTAATTCAATTAAATTTGTAATTAATTTAATTTAATTTTTTAAGCAGATATTCCTACATGATTTGAAGAAAAAAGTCACATATAATCAAACGATTTTTGTAAATGATGATAAAGACGATGAATATCACTCCGATGATTAATTTATGTGTGATTTAGTTTTTAATATTGTAATTTTCATCAATTATTATTTTGTTATTTTTTATAAAAAAAATCACAATAAATTAAATATTATAAATATTAATATATTATCTAAGTAAAAATATAGTAATTTAAATTAAAACTATCCCTATTAAAATTTTTACATAATAAAAATTAATATATTTATTACCTATAAAAATACAAACACACTTACACAAAACTATTAATTAGTAAATATTTTATTTATTAAAATAATCAACCGAATTTTTTCAATACAATTTTTTTTTTCCTTTCTGTTTTTTTATATTTATATTATTATTATCATTATCGTTATTTTAATCAAAATATGTAAACTTAATTTGCACTTGCAATCCCTTCAAATCTGAATTGAAGATTTCATCCCGCCCCTTGTAAAAATCATTGTGCCTCTTCTTAGCAATTGACACGGCTCACTCTTCTTCGTCCCAACCCATCCAACACTTTCACCAATACCTTCCTCTTCTTATTCAGGTTTGACGCATAACCCTGTAAACTGCTGCTGTCGCTTCTACCGCTTCTTCATTCACACCTAATCAATGCCACAACCGCAACCTTTGTCTTCCTCTTCAGCAGCGGGTGGTTGCTCCGCAATTGACGCCGCAACACATTCTTCTTTCTCTTCAACCGCACATTCTCTCATCTTTCGGTCTGTTTTAAAATATTTAATTTTCTAAATCGATTTTGTGATATGCTTGCCATTAACCTTTGTTTGATGAATTATGCTAGAAAAAAAATTGATTCATGTCATTGCTAAAAGTAATGAACTAGAGAATGTGTGTGTGATTTTGGATGCTTGAATATTTTTTAAGTCATTTGTTGTTTGGCAATGGGAGAAGAGCCAAAACCATATCGGTGTTGATGATTTCTATATCTATGCCCTAAATTATTTTGCAAAGATGCCATAATTTCAATTTGTTCTTGGTGGCATTTATATGGAATATATGCTTTGAAGCTTTCAATGATGCAATATTTTAGCATCTAGTTGTCACTATAACATTGAACTTTAGTTAGACAAAGTTATATTTGACCCACAAACACTTAAGTTTTATAGTATTGCTAAATATTGGAGAATTGAAGTAATTGCTCAAGTCTGAAACAAGTTGGAAGCCATAATAAACTAATGAATGTGATTGAAATCATAATAAAATATATTCATTTTGAAACACTATGTCCATAAAAAAATTAGAATAGATTATTTTCGCTTATTAATTATTTTATAAACTAGGGTGTGTTTGTTTGTGTTTGGGTGTTATGGATTAGAAAATTTTTGAATGACAAATAAGTTTTGGATGTGTTGTTTTAATGTAAACATTAAAATATATATTTAATTAAAATTTTTATTTCACTATTTTTTTCAATGTTTAGGATATGTGCTTCGAATGTGCATTTCTTTTCTAGAAATATTTGTTTTATTATTTTTTTCAAGAGGTTTACATTGAAAAATATTATTTGCTTCACCATTTTTTCCTAGAAATTTTAAATTTTAAGAATGTGCTTTTTTGATGTTCGGATTGAATTATAAAATTGAGAAACTTATATATATATAATATGTTATAATAAGTTTGTTTGAGCACTTGTGTTGGATTTAAATATTCTATAGTTTATGTTATAAATTTTTTATTTGTTTTATGTTTTAGTATAATTATTTTTATTTTTGTACCGCAAAAAATATAAATTTTTTCGTTAGATAATCAACCACACCTATTTTCGATATCATCAGTCGGAGGTGGAGTGACTAGTAATACTCGTGAAGAAAATCAAAATGGTGATAGGGAATTACTAATGATAGGACATAGATTACAACTAGTACTTTTGAGTGAGTTTTCAAATTATGTTGAATCTTTAACGATATTATTTAATTTTTTTATTATACATTTAAAATATAGATTCTAATAAAATGTAATTTTTTTTTTTTTTATAGTTCAATTCTAGGTTTGATTGGACATATAGGAAATATATTTCGATCAAATTTTTCTGAACTATGGATTTTTATGAAATAAGTACCTGATAGCCAAAGACACAAATGGTTTGAAATATTTGAGGTATATTAGTATTGAGTTTGTTTTATTAACTATTATTATTGAATTGATTTCAACTATTAAATTTCAACAAAATTTTTATAGGTGGGAACCTCAGTACGAATCTGATTTGTAATTTATTTTTAAATAAAGTTAGCGAGTTATTAAGGAGAAATTTAGGCTATGCTCGAAAAAATAATGTATGTCCGAAATGGATTTCTCTTGAAAAATTCGATAAAATGAACGAACAATGGGGTTCTAAAGAATTTTAGGATATGGTTGAACGAAATAAAGAAAATAGAAAAAAAAGTCCGACAGCATTTGCAAATCAATACCGTGGGGACGATCTGTTGGTCGTGTTCGAAAGATTATGGTAATATTCAATTAATTATAGTTTGTAAATATAAAATTTTGTATTAGATATATATATAATGATATTTATTTTGCAGAGTGATGAATTAGGACGCACACCAACCAAAATAGAATTTTATCGTCAATGTTTTAGTAAAAAAAATGAAGTACCTACTCAAGATGTTGCAGCTCTCGAAGTATAATTTATTTAGAATATATTTTTTTTTATATTGAGTAATACAATATAATGGGTTCAAAATTTTTAATTCTTAGGTGGAGCTACAAAAATTTTCTGAATGTAGCTCTGCTTCTAATTGGATCCAAAAAAACTTGTTAGTGCCTTTGGTGGTTTCAACACAAAATGTCGTGTCCCAGGACTTGGTTCTAGAGGGAAGATAACAAAGGTTCAACTTGGACCTTCCTGTTCACAACATCTTGCATCTGCATCTTTTTCAAGTGTATCAATGGATGAGCATTTGAAGATTAAGGAAGAGTTGCGAGCGACTAATCAAAGATTAGATCAGGTTTGTCTTCTTTTTTTTTTTTTTTTTTTTTTCTAATATTATTGGATAAATTTTATTTTAAACTTTAGATTCTAATTTTTATTATTATTTTTTTTGTACGTGACGAAATTCCTTCGTATGCACTTTGAAAATTTCAATAATCCTATTCCTCACGAACCAGAGCTATATTATCCTCGAATGGCTAGTCCATTTGATCCTTATCAAATGCGTCGGAGGAAAGTGAGAGCGGAAGTGGGAGTGAGAATCGTACCGGTGAAGCGAGTGAAAGTGGACAGTATTATCGCAACGAGGAGGATGATGAATATGAAAACGACGATGATGTAACCATTCCGCCTACTCAATATTATTAAAATTTTTGTATAATATTTATTTTCCTTGTAATGTATTCATTTGACATTAAAATTGATTTGAATGTATTTTTTCATTTTACTATTTAAATATATTTATGTGAATATTTTATTTTAAAATTTCTTTTACTATTTTAAAAAACTATTTAATTTACTATCTAAATTGTCTTGGCAATAATTTGTTTTAGTTTGCAACAATTTGTTTAGGAATTTTGTCGCGGAAAGTTGCAACAAATTTGTTTGCTAATGCATTTTAGCTTTGTCGCGAAAAGCTGCAACAAGTTGCGACCTTCGCGACAAAATGTCATTATGATAATTTATTAAATTTGTTGCAGAACCATATACTTTCAACGACAAATATATCAGCGGCAATTGAATAGTTTTCAGTGGTAGTGAACATTTCCTCAGCTTTATTGCAAGGGGAAACTACTGCTTGGTGGCTGTGACATTGCAATTGCTATGCATGAAAGTGGAGAAGTTGCGGAGATTTTAATTTCAGAGATGATGGAATAAAGACAAATTAAATTATTCAAATGATGGAAGTTAAAGAAGAGAGCTGAAGCTAATAGCGGAAACGGCGGCATGCATATCACTAAAGCAAGCTATACTACAAGGGGGAGCTGGTTCATCCGAGGCTGTGAAATATATTATATGTTGTGCTGGAGCTTCAAATTGAGTAAATCCACAATTGAGACTTATTATCGTCATTGCAGTACGTTGTTGAATTACGCATAAAGTTAAAAATAAAGAAAAAGAAATGAATTTGAGAGGTGCAAGTTTCCAAATAAATCATGGGATTTGAAGCTTGGTCTTTCAATATAACAAACACAGCAGAAATATTTATGTACATGATAACATTAATATGATAGCATTTTTACCAAAGCTCAAAATATTGGCGAAAGTGAGGCTGAAGCATTTGATCCTCCCATTGCAGTGTATCCCACCACACACTCTCTCCTCTGATAGTCTTGAGACCTCCTCGTCCGCTTGTCCAATCAAGCGGCAGTCGTTTCAGCCTAGGGCATTCTCCCACAGAAATCTTGACGAGAGATGGAAATGGCAAGGGACATGGAGACACACTTTGGAGACATGGAAGGTCATAAAGATATATATCTTTAAGCCTGGAAAATAAGTTGATGGAATCATGACCTGTAGCTGTAGCTGTAACAATTTCAATCATCGATCTGCAATCTGACACGAGAAGATATTGGAGCATTGGAGCATACACAAGCCACCACAAGTCCAACAAGTTGCAGCAAGAGACTAGTCTTATTTCGTTGAGGTTATGGAAACATCCTTCTGGGATGGCCTGATAAATGCCAACGCCAGATCTATCCTGCTGTTCAGAATCAATGATTACCTCTACCTCATGCACCTTACAACCTTCTATAGCTATGAGCTCAAGATGCCGCATTCGGTCTGCTGAAAAAGATAGAGACTCAAGTGAAATCAACTCATGAAGATAAAGAATCCTCAAGCAACTCAGTAGCTTGGGTGATTTGTTAAGTTTTTTGATAGAGTTGGCGTCGCTTAGTGTGAAAGATATGCTGCTAATGTGCGGCATGGCCTCCAATAATTCTAACAACTCTACTAAACCTCCACTCAAAATGTTGTTATCTTTTGCATCCACATCCGAAGAATATCCCTGAAAATTGTACAACCTAAATGTTCGCAACAAGGGAAAGCTCGATATGACCTGTCGTGGAATCATTTCTAGTTTAGATGTATAATCTAGTAGCAAGTGCTTCATTTTTGTTGAGTTCTTGAGTTCAGTGGGCAATTCCTTGATTGAGGTGCTGAATAAGTTAAGAAACTCTAGTTGCACCAATTCACCAATGCTGGAGGGCAACTCGACTAGATCCTCATTGTTGGACAAGTCTAACACTTTGAGCATGAACATACACTGCAAAAATTCAAAAGGGAGCCTTCTTACTCTAGTGCTCCTCATCATGAAAGTCCAAGTGTTCTTCCAAGGTTGAATACTTGTGACCGTTTTTATGGTTTCACCCCACAATGAAACTCTTTCAGATTCCATCTTCGTAGCGCACACTTCCACCAAATCTATGTGATCCAGAACCAAATACCTCTTTGTAGATTTTTCGAGTCCATTGGAAATCCATAACGCCATATCACGGATAACATCGTGCATTTTGACACTTGTATCAGCGTTGTCGATCTCCAGAAGACTTGCAGCTTTAAGGTCTTCAATTATATCTCGGCCTCGATCACGGGCTTCATGCACATCATCATATTCTTTTAGAAACCCCTCCCCAATCCAGAGGTCTAAGAGATCCTCGATAAGGATTTCATAGTCTTCTGGGAATATGCAACAATAGGAGAAACACAATCTTATTGTGTCACTTGGTAAGCTGTCATAGCTAAACTTCAAAATATGGAAAACATGATCTTCTATGCCCACCATCTTAGATGGATCTCTGCGTAGTTTCTTAACTGCCATGTCCCAATCACGGGGCACTTTTTTCCCAGCCATGGCTCGTCCCACAGTGATTAAGGCAAGTGGTAAGCCATCGCATTCTTGCACAACAATTTCAGCACTCTTACGGATACTCGGATGAGAATCTATAATTTCTGTTCCAACTTGCTGCATAAAAAGTGCCATTGCTTCCCTTGTGTCCAAACAACCTATTTTTAGCTTCCTGTCTGATTTCATGGAATCACAAATAGATTCATATCGAGTGGTGAAAACAATTTTGGAAATTCTTTGGCCGTCCAAAGCGGGCAAGACACCGACTTTAACAAGATCCAACCACGACCATATGTCATCTAGCATGAGCACAAATTTCTTTGTACGAAGAATCCTTAATATCAGCATCCCCTTTTCGTCCTCATCCTTATTTCTCCACTTGTCTTTAGAAATATTAAGTTCTTCACAAATCATGTCCTGAACTTTTCCAATACTGGATGGTTTAGACACTACGACCCAAATCACCTTATCAAATCCGCGACTCCTACTTGGAAAAAGATTGTGTACCCTCTTCAAGAGCGTTGTTTTCCCCACACCCCCCATGCCATATATCCCCATGATCCTCACATTATCATCCTCAATCCATCCATTCACTAGTGCAAGAGCTGAATCCAAACCTACTGTGTGCCCCAGAGGTCTCTCATCCGCTACGCCACATGGCAACGCCTCTGCAACACAATCAAACACTCCTTCCCCCTTCAGCTTCTCCACATCTTTTTGCTTCACAACAACTTCCTTGCCAAGCTTATATCTCATCCAACAGCACGTACAAAAATTCCTCTTTTGACGAGCCTTCTCCAAAAACTCATCAACACTTTTCTCAGTCGCCTCAACCCTCTGCAACCAGCCATTGACCTGATTAGTGCGCACCATCTGCCTTTCCTCCTCGAGCACCACCCTTCTTGTCACATCCTCACGGATATCTTTCAGTTGCTTCATTGCATTTTCTAAGGCTTCAACATTTCTTTCCAAGTCTTTGATTACGTTGGCAGTGTTGGCTGTGCAGCTACACAAGCTTTGAATAATATCCCAAATCGGACCCACAAAAGCCTCCATGGAAGAGATCCACCACAGCTCAAACCTTCTTACAAGCACTGCAACTTTGTTTCTTCCCTTCAGATAATATTAGGCTAGCTAAAATATATATCATAAATTAGAGATATCTCACCAACAGAAAATACTGATAAATCATACGACTGATTATTACATAAGTCACACTTACAGATTCAACGTGAAACTATATTATGAAGCTGATTCTTTTACTTTCTTTGATAGACGAAAGCAAGTATGAGAGCAATTTCAGCATACAACAATCACCAAGAAATTATGTAAAATAAATGAATAGAAATGAAGACTTCTGAAAAAATTATGAAAAATATGAATACCTTTTACAGATAGTTCTGATCGATCTGAAGCTCATTCAATCACTTCCTTTGGCCACATTTGAATTGTGGAAGAAAGAAGATGCCTTTCCTTTCCACAATATCTAAAAGATAAAAAAGATAAAGACATGATATTATTTTCGAACTTTTTTCTTTTTTGAGTGGGAGAGTGAATTATTGCATGACTACAAAAGAAGAAGGGAGAGTTGATTTTCAGTCTCTGTCAGTGGTTGTTGGATTTAAATTCAGTCCTTATTACTAAAAAATTAACATGCACTCCCTCCTTTTTAATATTGGTTTAATTTCAGTATCTATTTTTTATTTTTTCATTTGTCAGCCTAGTATATATTTGATTTACCTTTAAAATATATTCAAATACTCTCAAAATTATTTTATATACTTATAATATATTCCACTCTACATATGCTACATTTCGCTCTACCTAAGTTGTTCCACCGGTATACTTCTGTTTACCTTATGTATACTTTTGTTTGTGTATTTTAATATAATTAAAATAAAGATAAAAAACAAAAATTACAATTACAATCACATTCTATTGTGGAGTAAGACGGAAAATTATACCTCTTTTTCGTGCTAAGATTGTAAATAAATCAAATAATTTTGTTCGATTTGATATTTGATTCAAATTTATGATTCTAATTTGAATAGATATATTTTATTCGATTCAAATATGAATGGAATACAGATAAAAATTTTAATATTCGATTCCATATTCGTAAATATTCGATTCAATAACAAAAAAAAATACATACATAGTATAAAATGTAGCATACATATATGTATTTCTCAAAATAAATAAAAACTAAATTTATCAAGTATAATAATTTTAAAATTTTATATAAATAAATAAATAATATAATTAAAATTATATCATGATATTTATATTTATGTTAAAGTATGACAATCTTTTATGTGTCAATATAAAATTTTGTATTTTATTATCAAGTTGTCTTATTATTATTGTTATATTTTTAATTTAAAAATCTAAATCGAATAGCTTTGAATTGAATCGGATAAGACAAAAATGAATCACATCTTAAATTAAATATTTAATATTGAAATCAAATTGAATACTCGGATCAAATTGAGTAATTTAAAAATTATTTAGAATCGAATATAGATATCATTTTAAGATTCGAAACAAATCGAATATCGAATCGAATAGTAGAATATTTTCACGATTCAATAGAATATTGCAATATGTATGTTTGTTCATAGTTGTGTGTTCATTTCCATTTCGGTAATGTATGCCTATATTATTAAAGTTGGATTTTATACTTTTTGCATATTTTAGAGTAAATAATACTGCAATATTTAAATTTTATATGTGGAATTGATGATCTTAGTAACTTTATTCGGAATTGTCTAGGTTTTTGGGATTAAATTGGAGGAAGTAAATAGAGTACATGTTGTTTATTTCTGTCTATAGGTTATGGTAGTTCTCCAATGTTATTTCTTAGTAATTCTGCAAATAGTTAGAGTTATGCATGGAGTTTTTATAAATTCGCCGAAAGTATAATGGGTTGCTCACAATATAATCCCAATAAGAGTATATATACCGGCATAATATTCATGAAAATACCCCTAATTAAAATGTATACGCTCATACGTGTTTGTCAATATAATCAGAAAAGGTGTGTTTTTTTATGTTATTCTTATATTTGTGTTGAGCTACGTAGATGACCTTACATATACCTGAACGCAGCTCATTTCTGGCTCATGGTGAAAGATGATCCCGAATCCATAAGATGACGCCATCAAAGTAATACGCTATATTACGATCCTTTGGTCTAAATGTTTGTCCAGTGTTACGTTCATGCAAACCTGACAGTTCATCTTTAAAGGGGCTTAGGTAACGACTACAATGATGTGAAAACTTATCACAGTAAAATTGCTGACTGAATTTTAAAAGGTCCACCATCTTAAGCTTAGACTTCATTTCGTAATTTGTATTTGTATGCAACATTTTTAAGCGGAATTGATGATCCCAGTTACTTTTTTTGGAACTGTCTCGGTTGTTGGGATTGAATTGGAGGAAATAAACTGAGTATTGTAGTTCATATTTGTCTGTAGGTTACGGTGGTTCTCCTATTTTATTTCCTAATGCTCATGTGAATAGTTAGAATTGTTCTTGGAGTTTTTATAAATTCGATTAAATATGACTGAATGCTCATGATGTACTTCCAATAAAAACATATATACCGGCATAACACGCATGAAAATACCCCCAAATAAAATATATATGCTCATACATATTGTCAATGTACTCATGTAGCGTGCGTTCGTTTATGATTGTTCCACAATCCAAATTTCAATGACACACAGTGCCTTGAGGTGGTAAATTAATATTTTATGATTGTTTAACTTTATCCATACCTAAAGCTAAGTTAGATGATATAACGGACTTAAAAGATAAGTATTAATAGTCTTACAATTTCGACGGCAATCTCATGGAAAGTGTGGCATGATTTGTTGAATATATAGGTAATGCTTGAACTTTTCAATAAAGTATAATAGAGGAAAAAAAAGGGTGTGCCCTCATCGAGTTCCTTTATACCCTCCATTTTTAGAGAATTGACTGCCTCTGTGAGAAATCAATTACACTCAAAGATACCTAGTACTCACATAATACCTTAGAAACAATTATATATATCTCTACTGTCAGTGTTTATACCCAGTATGCATAGTTATGTAACTACATACACAATCAACATGTCGTTGTTTATTTGTTGTGTACCTATATTATGATATCAAATACTCCGAAAATACGTACTTATACCTTAGTAACCTCTACTCAAAAAATCGATCATATTGAGTATCATATACTCACTTGTAAACGGTAATTGATGATTAATTCAACCTAATAGTATTCTTGCAACTTCCAGGAAAGTATGAAATGACAAACACCACACATTTACAAAAATAAAAATGGGGAATATTATCATATATACACAATAAATGTTCAACCTCTACTTATGGATGGTAAACCAAGTCATAAAGAACTTGTTTAAAATATTTTTCATTATTAAGCTACATTTGTGTTGCTATGAAATTAATAAATAGTTGATGCAATCTGAATTCACATTGACGAAGTAACGCGAGACAAATGTAGTATTTACTTGAAACAACAAGTTGTAATCTACCGTCAAAGTATTGAATGAAACCAACCACATTTATGGATATCTGCTACTACACGGATAATATCTAAACAACTACCATTCATACCTTGAATGTTGGTATTTATATATAGAGCACATACTTACATACATGCATCAAATATCGACATACCTTGGCGCAAATCTTACGTACCTATAATATTGGTGTCATATGCTTAAGTAATGAGTATATATACCCTGATAACCTGTGCTTGGGAAACTGACCATTTTCGGTTTGAAGTATTTGTTTACTATAGGTAACCAGTGATGAATTCATCATGATAGTATTTTCGCGACACCCTGAATTGTATGAAAAGGTAAAAAAACACATATTTAGTATATATGGCTAAACAAGTTAGTTAAATTGTATGATATATGTACAATCATAGTTTCAACCTCCATTTGTAGATGGTTAAACAAGTCATAAATGACTAAGTTGAATTATGTTGATTGTTAGATTACATGATTGCTACCACAAATTAAAAATATTTGGACATATTACATAGTAATTCACATCATAATACACACAACAATATTCGGTCATGAGCATACTTGCATGAGGCATGACTCGGCTAATTTATTTATGTATGGATGCACCTACACAATTTAAATGTAACAAGTGATTGTCTTTCCTTTGTCATCACACCCTTTGGGTGGATAATCTATTGGCATGGGTTATTCATTCTTCAATTTGAGATCCAATCTATTGACATATAGGTCATCTACGTAGCTCAAAAACTATATATCGTGTATTGATTGAAAATTACGATAATAATATAAAAAACAATGAAATTTATATAGGTCAAAACTTGTATGATTTATATACTCTTGTTCATTGTTCATATATTTCCATTTAAGTTTTATATATGTATGTCATAATTGTACATTCCTTTATAAATATTTCATAAACCTTTGTTTGCTCGATAGTAACCACCTTAATATATCAATATACTTACAAATAATAGTTAAATGACCACAAAAAACAAACGTGAACTCCAACACATACAAACATATTTCATAGAGAAGCACAGTAGACCATAATAACATTAGAATTGTTGAAAACAATTCCTGGAAAGGCAACGCTGATTTTGGCAGATGAATATCAACAACCCTCAAGTCGACCTAATGCAATACCATCAGATATTGCCAAGCATGCCGGGAAAATAAGATCCAACTTCACACGAATATTGTCCAGAAAGTCCTTACCTGCAACAAAGGTGAGAGTGCTATATAGTTACAATTTATAAGGAAAATCAATATGAACAATCACAATCACAATTGCAACAAAATTTTAATTCAATAGTTTTTGAAACAAATTAATGCCAGTGGAAAATTATCTATGACTGAAATCTCTCATGCAAATTCACCAAAAGTTTACCTAATTTTCTTCTAACATCATCAATTTGGGAACTTTAAACCAATTCAATCGATGTAAAAATTATGAAGATGACCACTCTAAGCTTAGACAGTTATAAAAAAATTAACAGGGCAACAAGTCGCATGTGCTGGTTGTTTGCTATTCTTGCCAAATATTAATAGCCATATGTATAAATCTATCCAACTCATAATCGAATTAACTTAAGACTAACTTATATTGGCATAGATAAAAGCATCAAATTCTATATGCATCAAACAAATCGAACAAGCCGCAAATCAATGACACAATCTACTAAGGAATTTCATCAAATAAGTCTTGTAGCTACATGATAATGTATTCCATTAGAACTTATATTTTTTTTAAAAAAAAATTCAAGAGACTAATAGTTAAACTATCAATTTTTCCCCCTCTTCTTTACAATAAAAAATAAAACTCCATGTTAAATACATAATACAAATCACTCCTTGTCAAAAAAAAAAAAAAAAAAAAAAAGAAGAATGAGAATACAAAAATAC